ACTTGTTCCTCGTCAGTCTCACTTGCAGGCCTCTCTCAGCATTCCCCTCCCCTTGGCTGCTCTGTGTGGCTCACGTTCCTACCCTTGCCCCTCTTATGCCATCAAAATTGTCTCCCTGGACACCCTCATGTACTACCCGAGCTTCAGCTGCCATCCCTGTGCTGATGACGCCTGAGCTCTAGACCTCTGCATCTAAATGCATCTTCACAGCACCCAAGAGCCTCCAACACAGAGCATGCCTCTTCTTATCTTGAGGAAGGGACCTTCCACAGGTCCTTCACCCAAACCTGAAACCTAGGAACTGTTCCAAGAATGTTTGTCTACCTTTGATCTGTCACCCTAACTGGGCCATTTCTCATTCAATCATTTGGTCATCATTCAAATTCAGAGAATTTGAATTTCTGAACTCTCTCTCTCTCTCTCTCTCTCTCTCTCTCTCTCTCTCTCTCTCTCTCTCGGGTCACTTGGTTCAGGGGACCATGTGGTTTCAGGCATCAGACTTGGGGCTCCTATGGGCAAATGATGCAACTCAGCCTTTTGAGCTGTCTCCCACCTCTGTGGATTCTCTGTCTTCATAACTTCCCCAACCAAAACTTTTCCCTCAATCTCTTACTTAGTTCAGTGTTTTTCACGCTTCCCCTGATCTGGGAGATCATTCCTAAAATGCAAATCTGATGATGTCCCCACTGAGCATCACCAGTGCCCCCAGGCCAAAGTTCAGATTTCACTCTGTGATGGCCTTGGTCTGCCTTCACCTTCCTCCCCCACTTCTCTCATTGATCCTCTTACCATGCCTGGTGGGTACTTTTAGTTCCAGCTCTGTCATCTGCAAAGTAGGCTGAAAGTTAGCTCTGCTTTGTAAAAGTGATAGAGGAATGAGTTGTTGAAATGAATGGCGAGCCTATGGCATAGTTGCTGGCACAAGGTAAATGTTCAAGGATCCCTAATCTATGATGCCTATTGTTAGGGATGATAATAATTCCAGTGCAGGGGGTGGCATCTTGGTGGGTTTCACAGAGAAGGTGGCACGGTAGAGGATTTGGATATGTGCTTCTGGTAGGGAGTGGCCTGAAGAAATGGCCTGAGCAAAGACATGTGAATGTTGGTGCTCCTGTCCGAATAGCTCAGATCTGCTAGGCCAGGCAGTCAATAAAATCGGGAAAAGCAGAGATTGCCTTGGTTCCTTCTTGGTTCTGCAGCCAGCAGGGAGGAGCCTGGGAAGACACCAGGAATAAGTGGTTGTCTCAGCTTCCATCACCTGACTGAACTCTGACGTCAGCTCCCAGCTTCTCACCTTCTCTCTGAACCTGTGCTCTGCCCAGAGGGGTTGTGGGGAAAACTTTATCCAATCAGACCAGCCCTTGGCCCAGCTTCTCATCGTCATTAACTCCCAGTGCTTCTGTGATAAGGACCACGGTTGAGGGGCTGGAGATATAGCACAGCGGGTAGGGCATTTGCCTTGCACGCGGCCCAACCCAAGTTTGATTCCCAGCATCCCATATGGTCCCCCGAGCATGGCCAGGAGTAATTCCTGAGTGCATGAACCAGGAATAACCCCTGTGCATCACTGGGTATGACCCAAAAAGCAAAATAATAACAATAAGAAGAAGAAGAAAAAAGGACCACGGTTGATTTGAGGTCGGCAGAGCTCTGCCTGGTCTGGCTCTGCCCACTTGCCTGCCTTCCTTTTCTCTTCTCCAGCCACACTGGGCTTGATCCAATCCCACTTTCAGTCAACAACGATTTATTGAATATCTACATATTTGCTCTGCAGCATCTCCCCCAGGACTTTAGCACACGCTGTTCTCTCTGCCTGGAATCCTCAGCTTCCTTTTTGGAAAAACAAAAACACTCCATTTAATTTTTGCTCACTCTTCCTAGCTTAATCCAAATGTCTATTCTCCAGGAAAGAGTCCCCAACTCACCTCTCTTCTCAGAGTTCTCTTGGGATCCGCTGTTTCTTTGCAACACTGCCCACAGTGGTCAGCCTCCGTCACCAGCCTGTAGGCGGGACCATCCCTCACACTGCTGCCGTTGGCAGACATATCTGTGGGGTGAAAGGTTGGGGTAGGGGATAGGACAGAGACCAGATTTGGAAGCTGGGGATGGGAGTGGGGGAGGAAGATTCTTGGAAGCTGCTGTCTGGGCTTCAGGGACAGGTGGCACCTCCAAGTAAGATCAGTGCGAAGAGTTTGAGAGGAGAGTTGGGTGGAATGTGCTCGGAGAGAAACGAACTAGTGGGTGGAAGTGGGTGTCCGAGAGGGAGGTGTGCAAGCTATTGTCAGTGACCAGGGTCGGACGTGTGGACAGAAGAGCCTATGCCAAGGGCATACCTGGGAATCAGGACGCTAAGATGTAGGGCAAGATGAGGGTGACCTCCCATTGTCCCAGGTGAGTGGCCTTGGAACAACCATGCCCAGGGTGCAGGTGGGGAGCTGGTGAGAATTGGGAAACGTGAAGAGGAGGGGTGGGGCTTGAGAGAGGGAAGGCTCACTTCTCAGAACACAGGGCCAGGGTTTAAGAGACTTATCTTGCCTGTAGTTAGTTGACCTGGATTGCATCCCCAGCACCACACGGTCCCTCGTGCACCCCCAAGCACCACACCAGTTATTCTCCTAACAAAGAATAATTGGATCACACTACCAATGCTTGAAGGATGTTTGTCAGGCTGAATGAACTCATGTCAGTATAGATGGCTGTCTGCAGTTGGGAGACTAGAGAGATAGTACTGAGGTGAAGGCATTTGCCTTGCATGTGCCTGCAGCAGCTGTCCTGCTATGCTTCCTGGCACTGGATATGATCTCCTAAGCACTGTCAGGTGTGTTTCCTAAGCCCAGAGTCAGGAGTAAGCCCTGTACAATGCCAGGTGTGGCCCCCCAAACCAAAGCTGTTTGTAGCACTGTAGCACTATCCTCCTGTTGTTCATCGATTTGCTCGAGCAGGCATCAGTAATATCTCCGTTGTGAGACTTGTTGTTACTGTTTTTGGCATATCGAATACGCCATGGGGAGCTTACCAGGCTCTGCCATGCGAGCGGGATACTCCCAGCAGCTTGCTGGGCTCTCCAAGAGGGACAGAGGAATCGAACCCGGGTCAGCCGTGTGCAAGGCAAATGCCCTACCCGCTGTGCTGTCACTCCAAACCAAAGCTATTAAAACAAAAATTCTAAACTGCTGGGCACAAAGTCCAGGCTTGATTTTCCTTCCTGGGGTTGTCATCACCAGCATCATCACCATCATTGTGGAGGTGCTTGATTATATTTTCAGGTCGGACTCTAGAGCCTTAAATAGTTATTGAATGAAATAATGCAACAAGAGGCTGGGAAATAATACAGCAGTGAGAGCACATGCTAGGCTGGGATTAGATTTCCGGCCCCCATACAGTCCCTTGAGCAACACCAGCTGTAGTCCTGGGGATGCAATCCAGGTCAACTACAGGCAAGATAAGTCTCATGGGCACCACCAGATGTGGCCCTGGAAGCCCCAAACACTGCTGGGGTGGCCGAGTAGCCCCCCTCTCCACAGGGTCCAACAGCATCACATCCTCTGGCCTTGCCTTGAGCTGCCAGCCTGATTGGCTGAGAATCACCAGTGGGATCCCCCTGGGGCTCTTACAAACCACCCGGGAACGCCTACATCCAAAGAGAGAAAGGTCAGGAAATAAGTACTTGGGGCCTTGAAAGCAGCTGCCCAGTACTGCCCATTACTCAGCTGCCCATTATTGGTGCCTATGCCCATTCTAGAAGCCCCAGGAGCCTCAGAGAGAAAGCTCATGGAGTGTGGAGAGCATGGGGCAGCCTTGGCCACACCTGGCAGTGACATCTCAACCGTGGTAGGCAAGAGAGTAGGGCCTCAGTCGGCCCTTCCATCACTGTCTGGTAGTTTTTAATCTCCGTAGCTAAATTCCTTCCCACAGCAGGTAGGATGCTTGCCTTGCACACGACAACCTGGGTTTGGTCCCCAGCACCCCAAGTGGTTCCCCTGAGCCCCCACCAAGCATAATCCTTGAGCACAGCTGACCCCAACCCCCACCCCCCAAAATATCATTCCAAAATATTTTATTGTTTTTGATACTGCTTTAAGTGCGATAAATTTCTTTTCAGGCAATTCAGTATTGGGGATGGAGAGATTGTTACAGTGGGTAGGGCGCTTACCTTGCATGCGACTAACACATATTTGATCCCCAGCACCCCATAGGGTCCCCTGAGGCCCCCTCAGGAGTGATCTCTGAGTACAGAGCAGGAGCACTTCTGGGTGTGGCCTGAAAATCAAACAAACAAAAAATTCATTAATGGGGGGACATACCTTTGATTAAGCCATCCCCAGACCCTCTCAGGATCCTATGTGTCCGTACCTTCACACTCCTGATTTCACTGAATTAAACAGGACTAAAAGGGGCCGGGCTGGATTCAAATGGCAGAACACAGGCTTTGCAATACAGGACCCTGGATTGTAGCTGTACCCTGACCCCGTGTGCCTCTAACAAACGAGCTCACTGGAGGGCAGAAGGCTGTGGGCTTCTGAGCCTGGCTCCACATGCACCTCATTCTTCCTGGACAAACCCCAAAAAGCTCCCATCTGCCTTTCTGGGGTGACCCCGGAAATGGACTTGCTTGAATATGGATGTGATGTTCATGGGAGGGAAGATCTTTGAGTCCAGAGGAAAAGCCTCAGGAACAGACTCAGGAGCTCAGGCAGGGGTTGCCAGTAGCCTGACCTTCCTCTCCTGACCTCATTCACCCTCTCAAGCCCTGGATCTTCCTGTGCCACACGCCATGCCATCCTGAGAGGAAGTGCCTCGTCAGCGAGAGTCAGGGGTCTAGGGGTCCCTCCAAGTGGTTTGGGCCACTTGAGTCCTGGCCCCTTCTTTCCAGCACCCCAGAGGGACTGCTGGAAGGTGGGCTGCAGAGGGGGGCTGGGATGTTGTTGGGGCCCTGGGAAGAATGGCCCCCAGCAGTGCCAAAGCCGAATTCCCTGAGCTTGTGTCCCCTCTCTCTGCAGTCACGAGGCAGCGTGCAGCAGGGGGACCTGGACGGGGCCCGGAGACTGGGCCGCCTGGCTCGGCTGCTGAGCATCACCTTCATCGTCATGGGGATCGTCATCATCATCGTGGCGGTGACTGTCAACCTGACAGGTGAGACCCAGCCCCATGGTGTGGAGGAGCCAGTTTGCTTAATGTAGGGCTCAGTGTTCTGGACACTCCAAGCCTGTGGCCCCTGAGAGAGTCAAGGTCCTGGTTCCCGTTTGTTTATTTTGGCCAGACCACACCTGACCATGCTCCCAGGTTCCTCCCAACGTGGTGTTCAGAGGTTGCTCCTGGCTGTGCTGGGGTGGGTGGGGGCACCGGCGGGTTGTGGGTTGAACCCAACGGAGCCCTTTGAGCTCTCAGCAGGCCACCTCTCTTCATGCTTACCTTCCGGCCTTCAGCACCTCTGTAGCTCCGGCCCTCAGCTGGCTCCATCCATTTCCCACAGGCCAGCCAAGGTGGCTGCTGGCAGTGGGAAATTATCAGAAGCACAGAATATCGCTCCTACTCCAGAACCTGCATTTTATTAAGCTTCCCAGCCCTCTCATTAATGGCATCTAGAAGAGGCTCAAAGGGCTGCGTTGCACACCTGCATGCAGAGGCCCTGATTTCAATCCTACGAACTGCATGGTCCCCATAACATCACCAGCAAAGTTGGGCCCAAACAGCACCACATTGCTAGACCCAAACATTGAGTTATATATCACAGAACCCATAAAGTCAAGCCAAGTATTGTGGGAACAGTCCCTGGGGCCCCTTGAACACTGCTGGGGCTGGGAGTTCCTTCCAAAAGAAAAAAGGAGAAAAATAGTTTGGGAGGTGCTGGTTTAAAATTTTTTATTTGGTGGGGGTCAGTCCTTATTCTGAGCTCAGGAATCACGCCTGGTGGGGGATCCAGGGACCATATATGGTGTTGAGGATTGAACATAGGTTGGGTGCTTGCAAGACAAGTGCTTTACCCACTGTACTATCCAGTCCTGGTCTAGAATTTGGAGTGTTCACTTGAAAGGGAAAAGCCTGGGTGTCCACTGCGAGTCAGGGGCAATGTTGGCTGTGGACGGACGGGAAGGGTAGGGTTCCACTTATATAGGTTTGTCATCATTATACACAGGTTCAAAATGCAAGTGCTTCCCCTTCTATTACCTCCTTTGTTTACTGCTGCCTGGTGTTGCGGCTGCCACTGAACACAAACCAGCAAACAGAGTTGTTGAGCGGAAACTAAACAGTTCAAGACTAGGAGCTGGAACTATAGTGCAGCGGGGGGGGGGGGGGGGGGGGGGCGGGGGGAGGGGGGGATTGGGCACTTGCCTACCACTGATGCAGGTTTAATCCCCAGCATCCCATGTTGCTCCTTGAGCACCACCGGGTGCAGAGTCCAGAGCCTGGAGTAACCCCTGAGCATTGCTGGATGTGGCCCCAAACCCAAAAAAAGAAAAGAAATGAACAATTCAAGAATGAGTGGTTTTTATATCTGGGGTATCATGCCCTGCTCCGAGCCAGCCCCCCAGTCCTCATGAGGTTCCACCCCACCAAGAGTTCCAAATACATCACTCCTGAACCCCCTTGGAAACCCAAACCCCAGAACTTGAAGCAGGGGGGTAGGAAACCAGGCTCTAAGCTCTGTTCTACCGCAACTGTTCTTTTCTTCACAGTTCACAAGAAATAAAAGTAACCCAGGCCCTGTGCTCGCCGAGGCAAGCCCTGGCCGGTTGGTGAGCTCCAGGCCCACATTCCCCATGTACCATGGAGGACAGAGCGGTGACGGCCCGCCTGCCAGCTCCCAAAGCACAAACTCAGAGGGAGACCCTCAAGTCACCCCGCTGTGAGCCCACGTCAGATGGAAAAGGCTGGAGGAAGAAATTAAAGGAGGAAGAATGGACGGATGGGAGCAAGGAGAGAAATAAAATTCACCGTGAACTCAGTGAATCAGGGGGGGGTCTTAGCTCATGGGTGTATCCTGACATTTTCACCCCAGTGCTCTGGCTTCTTCCCCATCCCCCCACCCCCACCGCGGCCCCAGTCTTGGGACCCATCAAGCAGCAATACTGCCAGAGTGGGAAGAGTCAGCCCCATGCTGCCACCCTCCCTGTGTGTCCAACGGCCAGGAGCAGAGTTGTGGGACTCTCTTTTGTATTTTTCTCAAGGAGGGGACAGAAAAGATGATCTGCATGCCTCATGCCACACGCCTGCTGGGACCCCAGTCAGTAGTACAGAGGGAGCTGCCAGGGTCAGGCTCATGCCCTGGAAAGGGGCGCCAGCCATCTTCATCTTCCACATCATTGGGGCAGAGATGCACGGTGACACGCTTGACGACAGGGATGGGATGGCACACCAAGCCCCTCCTCAGACTCTTCACTGCAGGAGCATCTGCTGAGAACTCAGGTCCCAGCTCATCTGCCTCGCTCTTCCCACCTGCAGGATAACGGGGGTACCAACCCAGAACTCCTGGGGCCTGCCCACTGTCAGCAGTGAGGAGTCCAGGCCTCAGCTCTCAGACTGCTGTGGGGGTCAGGAATACATATTTGGGGCACCTGCAGTGAGACTCAGGTGGGGGCTTGAAGTTCACTCACTTCTAGGGACTCCTCTGCGGTGCCCCTGGCCATCCCACATAGTCATGACCTCCCTCATACGGGTGTTGGGCTCCTGGAGGGAGCGTCTGGAACATTGGAACTGCTGTGAGTGGGCTGCGTGGTCTTTATGAAGGGCTGTTTATGGGGTCAGGAAAGTTCCAGGGTAGACAGAAGAGAATGGCTGAAAGGCACAGTCTGGGTGGGCAATGGCCCTGGGCTTGGAGCTCCCTCAGGAACTCCGAGGCCTGGGACCTAACCACAGGAGCCAAGGCTGGCTTTTGGCCCCAGGATTCTCCCCCGACACTTCCCTTAAGGCCTCTCCTGTGCCCTGTCCTTTGCTGGCTTCAGCTCCCAGACCCCTGCGAGGGATGGTCCAGGCAGCCCCGGGAGAGTGGGGGTCGGGGGTGGGGGTGTGCAGCCCAGACACAGTCAGATGGTCCTCCACTGGCCAAGAACGTTTCCCCTGCACTGTTCAGGACTCTGCAGTGCTTGGAGGAGGACTTAGCACCGAGGCTGTCGGGAGGGACCTGAGGTTCTGAGAGCAGCCCTGAAACTTTTCCAAGAGCCTGTCTCTTGGTGGGACCCAGAGGCACTGGGCAGCTCCCTCTGGGGCTGCAGCTTCTGCCTCTGTGCCCCGACCCCAGGAATATACTCTGGCCCCTCCCAGCCCTGCTAGGTTTGTGGCCATTGAGGTCCTAATAGAGCGACCCCTACTTTTCAGTGAACAAAGGGTGAGCCAGAGAACTGGTGTCGCTCTGGTGGATAGGTGCAGTGCTGAGGAGACACAGGGGCTCTAGAATTGGTGCTTCCTGGGTTCCAGTTCTGGAAGGCTCTGTCTCCTGGCAGTGCCAGGGGTCCCTAGGGAGCAGAAAAAAAGTGAACCTGATGGTGTAGGCATCATCTGTTGTTGGGGGAAAGAGGTCCAGGGGTGCTGTCTCTATAGACTCTGTGGGTGCCAGGAATGGCACACGTCTGCCCTGTCCCCACAAGATACCCTTGAGTTCTCACTCCCGTAGACAACATCGTTCACACTCAGACCCCAGAGTGGTCCAGAGAGAGCGGCCAGGCCGAGCCACGGGAGGGGTGCGATTACCATGACCTTCTGTTCAGGCCAAAAGGATGCGGGGTTCAGGATTGTATCAGGAAGCTCAGGCCCCTGGGTGGGGGTGGGGTGTGAGAGAGGAGCAGAGGCTCCTGGAGAAAAAGCCTCCCCATGCCCAGCATCAGGGAGACCAGGGCTGGGTATCCAGGGGCCTTTGGTGATAAACCTGGGAGAGAGGGTCCCCCAGGCAGCCCAGCACCCCAAGACCTGGTTGAAGCTGGCAGGGACGGTGGCTCTGCTGTCCCACACCATCTCAGGGTGCAGCAGCTGACTGCATGAACACAGCGACCTGTCCCTGTGACCCATAGGACAGCAGAGCGCCCCCTGACACAGCCCCACGTGCGCCGGTTCTCGCCTCTATACTTTTCTGCATGGAAAACAATAAAGATGAATGTCCTGACTGAGGGCGGGTCTGTGTGTGCCATGTCAAGGGGGGGCAAGTGACGTGACCTGTGGGTGTTGGGGTCAGGGCTAGGAGCAGCCACTGGAGACCCCCTCCAGGAGTAAGGCCCGTGTCCATCCCAGTCGGATCTGGAGTGGCCCCTCCAGGGTACGAGGCCCCAGCCACGGTGCCACCAGCAAGCAGAGGCCACGTGTGTGGCTGAGTATGTGTGGGGGCTGCTGCCACAAAGACTCACAGGCGTGGCAACCGGAACACAAAAGAAATTCACAGCTTCGCTTTCTGGAGGTTGGAAGCCCAGGTCAGGCCCACACCACGGGGAGCACACCCTTCTTTGCACAAGTACCTCAGCACATTCCTGCAGACCCTCCCCCGTGGCGCTGAGAAGAAACTGAAGCTTAGAGAGGCCCACAGTTACCCCAAGGTCACGCAGCTGGCAGCCCCGGAAGCAGGACAGTCCTTTGTGACACAGGCTTTAGGGACAGGACCTACTTCAGGACAGCCTGTCATGCCCAGTCCTTTCACTGTGCCGCCCAGCCCAGGACAGTCACTTTGTTGCAGTTTTTTTTGTCTCCTTCTGTACTGTGAGCTTTTTAAAGGCATTTGAGCACCATGGAGAGGCACAAATGAAGATGAAATGGGGGTGTGGATGTTCACGGCTCTAGTGCCATGCACCCCAGAATCTCAGAGAACCCTGAATCCCTGCTCTCCTGTACCCCTAGTCCTACCTGCCCTCAGACCAGAAAGCAGCAGAGCTCTGCGCCCATACTGTTGGGCTACTCCTGTGGAAGGAGTGAACAGTGCTGGGCTCTGTCCAGCCATAGGGAAATCACCAGAGAGCTCTGGAAAGCGCTGATGCAAGTCAGCTGCTCCAAGAGAATCTGGTTTAAGTGGTCTGGAGTGTGGCCTGAACATCCAAATTTCAAAACACTCTTCAAGTGATTCCAATGGTCAGTTGAGGTCAGGGGGCCACTCGTCTAGCTTCCAGAGCCTCACTGCTCAGTCCGCGCCTTGAACCATTAACCTGGGCCCTGCCCAGAGCTGTTAGAAGTGCAGAACCTCAGCCCACACCCCACCTCAGGATTGCTGATCCCCAGGTGGTGCTGAGACTTCACAGCGTGGGAGAGCTCTGGGGAAAGGCCTGAAGACAAAGCTGGTCATCCCAGCATTTCTCCTCAGGGCACCTTCTTCAGTGAGTCTTTGATTTCCTCTTTAAAATGGATTATGGGCCGGAGCAATAGTACAGCAAGTAGGGTGTTTGTCTTGCATGCAGCCAACCTGAGTTCTAATCTCCAGCATCCCATATGGTCCCCCAAGCACCACCAGGAGTAATTCCTGAGTGCAGAGCTAGGAGTAACCCCTGAGCATCGCTGGCTGTGATCCCTCCCCCACAAAAAAAAAAAAAAAGAATCATTATGGAGGCTTAGGGCATGTTCCTTGTATGGGGCTGACCCAAGTTTAAATCCTGCCATTCCCTATGGTCTCCTCAGCACCACCAGGAGTGATCTCTGAGCAGAGCCAAGAGTAAGCCCTGAGCACTGCCAGGTATAACCCAAAAGCAAACAACAACAACAACAACAACAACAACAAAGCACATTATTTTCATAATGAATGGGGTTGACTTGACAAACAGAAAAAAATCCAAGCAACACTGGGGCCAGAAAGATGGTGCAGAGGTTAGGGTGCATGCAGACCTAGCATGCACCTGGCCCGAGTTTGATCCCCTGTACCACACATCTAGGAATGACCCTTAGAGGCCCCTAAGCATCTGTGGGTGGCTCTGGAGGGCCCCGAGCACTGAGGGGCCTGAGAAGCACCACAGCCGTCACCCCAGCATTGAACTATAGGCCCTGTTGGCAGAGAATGGCTGAGAGGGTTCTCTGAGCTTCTGGGCACCACCTGAGTGTCCCCTGCAACCCCAACCTAAGAAATACTGAGAAGCAAAGAGAGGGACAAAGAGAGAAACACTACATAGGTCTGCGGGAGTTTCTTGGTAGAAGAGCTTGTACCCCAACTCTCATGGAAAAGGCAGTGTGTCTGGATATGGGGGCAGGAAGGAAGTTAGAGGGTGAGGGTGGCGTGCCCCCAAAGTACAGTACCCAAGGAAGTGGAGACCACCCCCGTTCCCCAGCTCCCCATTGTGGGCCTGGCCTACTGGAACCTTCTGTGGGTGATGCTGAGAGGGAAAATCAAGCAGGTCTTAAAGCGACTTGAATGGACACTTCTGCTCAGCCCCAGAATGAACACCCTGATTTTTCTGGGTCACCATGTCCCCTGACCTTCAAGCTCCGGGGAAAGAGCAGAGGGAGGAATCTTGAGAAGGGGGGGCTTGTCTCCCACACCTGTGTCAGGTGTCTCTAAGTGCAGCCTCCAGGTCCACATGCTTCTGTGAGGCAGATGCTGGATGGACCCTGCATGGCAGGGGCGGGGCGGGGAGTGTAAGAGGGTCCTTCCCCCGCCCCCCGCCCGGGCACATGCCTACACCCTTGTCACAGTCTAGTGCCCCAAGGACCACACCTCATTGCAGGAGGGCGGAGTGAGCTCCTCCCTGCAGTGGGCACAGTGTGGGTCAGCTGGCAGCAAGGCCCTCCTGC